GGCTCAGCATGCGGTACTGGGGATCAGATCCAGATCTTTGTGCTTGCCAGGCAGGCCCTCAGACCACTGAGCTATCTTGCCAGCCCTTTTCTGGTCTTTTAATTCCTCTTTCATCACAGAACTATGACTTATTGAGGGTTTACAGTTTTTTTGCTTTTCTTTTTTTGGTACTGGGGATCTAACTCAGGACCTTTCAGTTGCCAGGCAGGCACTTAAGCTGCTGAGCTATCTCCTCAGTAGTATAATTTTTTTTTTGTTTTGTTTTATGCTGGGGGCAGAACCTAGGGTCTTACACACACCAACCATGGGTTCTACCACCAAGCTATACCACCATCTGGAAGGTTTACATGGTTTTACAAAAATCAGATCGAGGAAACTGCATGCTGATTTCTTTGCCTTCTTGGAGAATATCTTGGGGACAGATACTTTCACACACTGGAGGCCGTTTCTCCCACGACTGAACTACCACCCAGCCTATACCAGGAGGGCTTCTCCTCCCCACAGGAAGACTGGTTAACTGTTCTCCACACTGACAATTACTGATGCTGTCAGTTACTTCAAAGAATTTTCCTGCTGTTTTTTTTTTTTTTTTAATGCAAATACTGGGGGTTGAATCCAAGGTCTCTGCATTGAGCTATATCCCCAGCCCTTTTCATTTTATGTTTTATTTTGAGACAAGATCTCACTGGGCTCAGGTTTGAGATCCCCTTGTTTTAGTTTCCCAGAGTGGTGGGAAAACCACCATGCTTGGCTAAGTTTTCCAACAATTTGGGAAAAACACTGGTCTACATAACCCAAAGAAGGCCATAAAAGACTTGAGGACATTGCAAGGAAGGAGGAAAAGTTTTATGAGGAATAGGCAGTAAGGTAGTCTCCCAGAATATCTCTATAAACTGTTAGGTATGAAATGAAAAATCTGTACAGAAGAGAAACTGCACCATGCCATAACCATGTGATCTGATGAATGTGGCCAGTAGGGGCGGCTAGACATGGCCGCCTCCAACTGTGGTTCTGAGGGCAGGAGAATGCTCATGTAGTATTCCTGCCCAACGTACCTCCCTAACCTGAAATGAAGTATGAGGAAACACACATCTAAATTGAGGAACATCCTAAAGGTAAATAGCTCTTATTCTTTTTTAAAAATGAGCAGGTGTCTTGCTATCAGAGAAAAGCTGAGGCAGTACTCTGATGAAAGGACTTTCAGACATGAGGTGACTTGGTGTAAGATGCAGCACACAGTCCTAGATTGAAGCTGTGCCAGGAAATACATTTCTGTAAGAACTATCATTGAAACCTGCACCTGAACTGAAATGTGGACAACAGCTCAGAGAAAAGCCCTCATGCTGTGTTGTTTTCTGCACAGTACTAATCACACAGGTGTACCATGCAGCTCATGTCCCATTCCTGTCTTTCATGTATTCTCCGTGACGGGAACATAGTATAAAATCATTTGGTGGGGAATGAAGGAAATCAAGCCCACTCCCATTCTGTCTGATGCCTCCTCAGCCTTCACCAGCAGCCCTCCATGGCTGGCACCCAGCAGCTCTCCACTTTGCTCAGGTGAGTGGGAAGCCTGGAGAAGAGGCAGGAGGGTGCGATATTGAATATTTAAATTTAAATATTAAATTTCCCAAATTTTGAAACTTCTAACTGTGCTCAGTGAGTAAATAGCCACATTTTTAGGAAATACAAATTGAAGATTTAAGGGATGGGGTGATGACTCTCAAATCATTCTGAAAACAAATATATGGACATAGAACACATGTCAAAGAGGGAGTGGAGTGAAAAAGACATAGCCAATGTGGTGAGACTTAGTGAGCAGGCACAAGGGTACATGGGAGTTCTTTGTCCTACTCCTGCAGCTTTTCTGTAAGCTTGAGATGATCTTAGAATAAAATGAAAAGAGATATTAATATCCATTTCTAAATTTGAGAGTGCTGACTAAAAACATTTGTTGAAAATGTAAAGCACTAAAAAGAGCCTTGATGGCTTCTTTAGTGGAAAGGGAAATGTAGCCATTTATCTTTTTTTTTTTTTGCGGAACCGAGGATTGAACTCAGACCCTTGTGCTTGCCAGGGAAGCGCTTATTCCACTGAGCCATCTCCCCGGCCCACCATTTATCTTTAATTACTGTTCAATACTCTGGAGACAGGACAATGCCTCTGGGTTTTGTTTTTTTAGTTAGGAAACTGCACAGCAACACCGTTCCCAGGTGGTTTCTGATTCCCAGCCAGAGACTTTTTTTTTTTTCCCCACAGATAGGTTACATTAGGTTAATTGTATGGCTTCCTCTTTCAAAATATAGGATACAGGTTTCTCACTGTATAATCAAAATTCAATTACAAAAACAAAAGAGGGAATCAATTCCTCCAAATTCACTTGTCAATATATACTATTAAAATTTTAAAATTTTACAAAAAATGAAAATACAGCAGCAGAGACAAGAGCTTGGATAGGTGGTGACTTGTCTGTCTGACTGGCAAGACAATGACCTGAGCAGGTAACACATGACACAAGATTGCTTAGCGACTAACAGCCCACAGTGTCTAGGCAGGATGTTTTTTCTCAAGACTGAAGTAGCCTGACTGCAAAGGTAATGAGGTCTCATCCTGCCCTCCCACATTGGATCAATTTCAGCTTCAGTGGCTCCCACCAGGCCACCATGAATTAAGCATCTCTGCTCCACCATGCCCTTTCACCATGATGTTTTTTGGCTAAGGAGCCAGGTGACCATGGAGTGAATCCCCGGAAACTGTGAGCCAAATTAACCTTTCTTTCAGGTTGTCAGGTTATGCTGGGGTATTGTGTCCCAGCAACAGGAAAGCTGGCTACCATACCCTCTGAAGCATCAACAGACACATAAACTGGAAGAGACGCTTGTGCTCAAAAAGGCTCCAGTTCTTTCTAATAGTGTTTATCATAAACATAATGCATTTGAATCACAGCTCAGCCACATGGAAGATGCCAGATACTGGCTTCTCCCACCTTCAGTTTCCTCAACAGCAGAGTGATTATTATAATATCTATTCTTTAGGGCTGTTTTAAGAGCCAGCAGAAATAGTACATTCAGTCCTCTGCATCCATGGGTTTCATATCTGCAGATTCAACTGACTACCAAACAAAAATGTTTCCATCTTCACTGAATGCATGAAGATTTTCCTTTGTTGTTATTCCTAAACAGTATAGTAAATAACTACTTAAATAGCATTTACATTATATTGGACTCTATAAATAATCCAGAGGTGACAGAAAGTATGAGAGGAGATGTAGTGTATATATAAATATTATGGCATTTTTGGTTAGGCACTTGATCCTAAAGCCTGTATTGGTTGATACATTCTGTCAATTTGAGAAGTTTAGAAGTTTCATTAAGTGACTCAGCAGAGAGCCAGGATTCTTAGTTTGTAAGCATCCTCATCCTGTGTAAGAAGAGGGCATGAACACTGTGTGAGTTCTACACCCCCAGCCCCAGGGTAGTTTGTTTATAGTACAAGGAGGGGAGAGAGGCTGGCTAGAAGCCACAGTTGCTGCCCTTCCCTTTGCTCTTTGCTGTTTTCTGCTGCCATGAACTGCTGCTCTCTGCCATGTGCCCCTCTGTCTGGAAGCCCGTTGAATATGGACTGAAACCTTCACTAACTGTGAGCTAAGTAAACCTTTTCTTCCTTAATTTTGGGTGTTGGGTATCTTGTCCCAGCAATGAGTAAAAAGTAACTTAGTATTCATGGTAGATGCTCTGCTGAGTCACACAATTAAACTAATAAACTTCTCAAGTTGACACAATGTATCAACCAGTACAAAGCCCAACCACCATGGATACTAAGGGACCGTAGTACCTGGGGGAAAAAAGCAGCACATAGTACCAACTTCATACCTCAGTAAGTATCAACTCCATACCTTAGTAACAGCAAAAGCTTGTTTATATTTAAAAATATATAATCAAGTTTTTTCTATGTTACCCCTAGAAGGTGATGTCTAGCATTGGGTATGAGATTCCAGCTGGTAAGGTACAAAAGCACAACACCAGGGCATGATCTCCTTCATCTACACAGTCTTCTGGGTACCCATGGAGCCTTGGACAAATATAATACTTGTACTCTGATGAAACACAACTCCCTACTAGCTCACCTTAAACCTGTGATCAGTACCTTATCCACAAGCATCAAAATGTTACCAAAACATTGCCTTGTCATTTGTGAAAAACAGATATAGGGGTGTTGCATGGGATGGAAAGAGGTAGGAGTCAGGCTACGCTGTCCCACCAGAAGAGAAATGTATTCTATGTAAACCTATAAAGTTTGGCATTGTAACATTTGTTGGATAAGACTAAACATGAGCACTGAACTTTGAGTGTGTGTCGGAATTTCTCCTCCATTTATGTCTTATTTTTCTCTTATTAAGACAAAAATACCAAGCACCCAAAGTACAGGAGGATAAAGGTTTACTTAGTTCACAGTTTGCAGTGGTATCAGTCCACAATCGGCTGATACCAAGGCAGTATGACACCGGAGACAGGCGTTGCAGAGGGGAAACAGTTCATGGCGGGCAGAAGGTAGCAAAGCAAGCAACAGAGAAGACGAGCTTCTTTCAGTCTCTTATATTGTATCCAGGCTACTAGGAGTAGGTGGTGCCAAACCAAATAGTAAGCTGATTTAGTAATGATCCACCCTTAATCCTAGCTCCCCTAGTTGTAGCTGCTCTCAGTGGGTTAATTTTATACTAGCAAAAGAAGCTCACCTTTAGCTTCTCCTACTTTAAAGATAGAACATGACCCTGCCTGGAATGCCTCATTCCTTCCTTCCTTTCCCACACTTAAAACATTGTAAACATAAAAGAGATAAAAGGAACACAGAACTTATTACAAAGAAGAATCCCATGACTGGGCTGTAACCTACCCTGGTGACAGCCCATGACTTTTTGAGTCAACAACCATGACATTTTAGGGTGGTTACCATGGAAATCAAGAAGTTATTTAAGCAGAGACAAAACAAAGAAGGAGGCTGGAAATTTCTGATCTGTAATTGGGAATGGTCTGGTGGCTAGCCTTATTAATAAACTTTTTTTTTTTCCAATTTTTTGTCTGATGTGGAAATAATCTCACCATTTCAATAGCAGCGCACCATGAATCAATCACACACTCCAGATTCAGCCACCTCAGAAAGTCCCACCTACGGCCCCATGAGGCTTTGGGGACACATTTAGACACACACCGTAAGAGCTTAGTACCTGTGGAAGGAGAACCTGGTGGAGCTGTATTGGCAGTACTCAGGTTTGTCCACCGAGAGGCAAGTCCAGCTCTTGCCACAGCCCGCTGATAGTTATCATACAGGGTCTTTCCGTACTAGGAAGGGAATACACAGGAAGAAAGAATTTTTTTTCTTTCAATTCTTCACTAATTGCAATATACACATTGAAAAAAAAGTACTCCCTGATTCCTCTTTTCACTTCTTGCTCAAGTTCTTTGTATGTTTCAATAAAAATGACTATTTTCACATGTTAAATAATTTTTCAGATTAGCAAAATCAGCTAATTCTTTCATCTACATGCTAGAGAGCCTTAGCCAAACAATTCTGATTATATATCTTTATATGTACTTAAATTATAGTACAGATTCAGCCTTGTTTTTCTTTCCCTCTCTTTTGCCCTCCCTCCTCACCTCCTTTTCTTGCTTTCTTTCTTCCTTCTCCCCTCCCTCACCTTCCTCCCCTCTGTCTCTCCTGTGCTAGAGATCCAGCCCAGACCTTCCCTCAGGCCAGGCAAGTGTTGTATCATTCAGCTGCACACTGAGTCCAATCTTGTGTTTCCTAATCCCACACTATGCTTACAACCCTCTGCTTGAGTAGCTATCTGAAGTTTCACTGGAAAGTCAAGTGTTGATTCTTAGGTCAGTAGGGAGGTCCATGGTGCTATCCCTCGCACCTATGTAAAGAACTTGCAAATGAAATAATATCTACTGTTGTCCCAAAGAGCAGGCCAGGAGTTTCACAGCACAAAAACCTGTCTGGCCCTGTGCTCTCTTACCTTGGCGATCCTTATTCCCATGACCCACTGGTTGAGAGTTGTGGCATCGTCACAGCAAAGGTACTTGATGTACTGTGACTCCTTCTGAATTTGGGGGTGCTAGAAAGAAGCAATTTCAAAGACAGCTTATGAACAAAAGAACCTTTCCAAATAACTTTAAAGCATTTTCTTTAATCTTTTATTTATTTATTTGGTACAGGGTCTTGCTACACAGCTTGGACTCATAGTGATCCTCCTGTCTCTGTCTCTCCAGTGCTGGGATTACAGGGGTGTGCCACCATGCACGGTTCTGTGTGCCCAGGGTTCTGTGTGCCCAGGGCTTGGCATGGCATGAGGTACCAGGGATCGAACTCAGGTCCTTGAGCTATTTCCCCAGCCCCAAATAACTTTATTTATTTATTGTTTGTTCATTTTTGTTTATTTCTCTCTCTTCTGGAGTCTTTATACTTTTTTTTTTGGCGGAACTGGGGATTGAACTCAGGCCCTTGTGCTTGCTAGGCACGCGCTTATTCCACTGAGCCATCTCCTCTGCCCCCCAAATAACTTTAAAGAACCAGTAATGTGTGATTTATTGAAGTCAAGGCAAAAATTATTAGTAGTAATTTTAAGACTAGGAAGAGAAATACTTTTTATTTTTTAATTTTTTTTTTTATTTATTTGAGAGAGAGAGAGAGAGAGAGAGAGAGAGAGAGAGGTGTGTGTGTGGCCAGCTCAGCCCACCAGGGGGCGGGGCTGGCTGGCATGTGGTGCTGGGGGATTGAACTGCGGTCCCTGATGCTTTGCCAAGCTAGTTCCAAGTAGGTGCTTTAGACCACTGAGCCATCTCTCCAGCCCGAGAAATACTTTTTAATTTGGCTAAACTCCAAAAGGATTTAAAAAATCTGTGATTGATTTATCATAAGCACCATAAGATAACTTACTTATTTTTTACGTCACAGAACTAATGCTTACATGGATTATGGTATTATGGCTGCCAAAACCTCATCCAGGGGTTATACCCGCTACCAAGAACTCAAGAGTTTTGCAGTGATGTTCTTCACTGTTAGCTCTCATCCAGACGAGAGCTCCTATGTGCTAACAGATTGCACAAAACAGAGTTTGGATCTATTCTCAGGTAGCCTTGAGTAATGGCTTGTGGGGATGAGCAAGCGTTACTTAGGCCTCTTGGGGACTTACAAGAATAACGATGAATGGCAGACAATGAAGGCAGAAGGATGCCCTGTACTCTTTTTTGTTACCTTCCACCTCCTTGTAATCCTGTTTTGTGTTTCTGATAGATTGCCTGCCTCACGAGGATGGGAACTATTGTCTGTCTCCTTTGCTGAAGACCCCTGTGCCTGCAGCACGGTAACTATTTCTGTCCAGATGTCAAAGTAATAGTTCAAAGGACTAAATTAAACATTCTTTTTTTTTTCTTTTTTTGAGACGGATCTCAATATGTAGTTCAGGATGGCCTCAAACTCATAAAGCATTTGTAATTTAGTTGCATATGCTGCAGCCACAAGGTCACAGACAGATAACCAAATTCTGAAATACGTGCCAGGTCAGTTTTCATGGGTCATTATAGCTTGTAGCTAATTTTATTGTATGAGATAATTACTGGTTACAACATGTGTGTGCGTGTGT